CATGAGTCGCAATATGGATTCTTGTATCTGTGGGTCAACTTGTGATTCAGGCTGTTGGCTTCTCTCTTGAGTGTTCCTCTTTTGGCTACCCTGGATTCACCTTCAACAACATCGATCTCGATGTCATCTTCATCACCTTCAGCGGCATCTTCAGGAGCACCATGACCATCATCTTCAAGGTCAGTCTCGTCCCCAGGAGGATCGCCAAGCGGAGTTCCTGGTTCATACTCGCCGCCCTCAGGTGGTTCCTCTTCTTCTTCTCCAGGAGTTGCCGAATGTTTCTGTCGGTTCATTGCTCTTTTCTTCTTCTTCACCTTGAGCTTCTTGACGTATCGAGAACAGTTGTGATCCTCAGTTGATGTCTCAAGACCACTTTCTCCATCGATATGTACTCTTCGTGAGGGTTGACCAACATCATCAATGTCGTTGAAATCATTGAATCCGATTTGAGAATGTGTCAATAGGTCATGGATCTTTGATGCATGATGACATTCATGAGGAGTGCACTCGTATGTTCCAAGATCAACGTAGGGGATGTTGTCATGGATTGTCAAATCGATGCGTTCCCCATTCTTCGTAATCATGAAAGGCATTTGACCAGATGGCCATACAAAGGAGTATCCTTCTTCCATGCATCGTTTCCCAAGAGACATCACGGACGGAGTGTCGTCCAGTACATAGGCATGAGAGGTCACATCAAAGGTTCCCAGGTCAATCTCTGCTTCCGTCTGAGTAGCAGTTGAACCGTTGGCTGTATGGAACATGATAGGATCACAAGTTCGCTGCTTCAAATTCATCCTTTCGGCTTTCCTTACAGAAATCAGATCGTGTCCGCTGCCAGAATCTAGGATGAATCTACGATCTTTGGCTTGTACTGGTAGTGAAACGCACATTATGTTCTTGGACTTCATGAGGGAGTTTCCAACTTCGTGTTCAACAAGCTCTTCAATAAAAGTCAAGTCATCACGATCATTGTCCAGTTTGATCAACATGTCGAACTTGGGGCCAATAATGATTCTAACTTCGTCAACAAAACGATGGAGTCCACATCTGTCCATGATGATAGCCTTGGCCCGTGCTCGGACTAAACCGAGGGTGTTGTCGGACTTGGACTGATCGTCGGTCAAATCATCGACTTTCCAGAAGACATATTGCTTGTTGGGGTCACGATACATACGTTTGGGTAGTCCCTCCGGGTAGTCCTCAATGGCGATCTCGTGCACTTCAGGTTCCAGATCAAATGAGATCCTGCGATCATCAGAAGACTTCTTTGCACTGGCTATCCTCGGTGAGGTATAATCCATAGAATCTTCATTGTCGCTATCAAAGAAGGAATCAATGGTAATGGGAGTCGCCTTCTTCTTTGGTGTCTTCTTGCTGGTTCTCTCTGAGGATGCTGAAGGCGATTTATCTGCATGTAGGAATTTACATTTGTTTCCAAACTTGCAGGTACCCTCTTGCCAATTCCAACATACCTTCTTTTTGGGTCCAGCTGAAGATGAACTTCCTCTACCTTTCCCTCTTGATGAATCTCGACTTCCGCTTCTGCCTTTCTTACCTTTCATCTTGGCATCATAGACTTTCTGAGAATGACTGTAAAGACATTTGTCACCTTTGTTGCATCCTCCTTTATTGAAGAAGTAATTGCAGAAAATCTTCTTCTTGTCAACGGGTGAAGATGATCTTCCCTTCCCACCTTTGCCTTTCTTGTTGTTCTTGTCGGCATGGGATTTCGGAGAAGGTGTAGGAAGTACTGATGCAGCTTCACTCTTCGCTTTCGCCTTAGGACGTTTGGGAGGATCACCTGTAGACGATGCAGCTGCTTCATTCTCCTTCTTGGTCTTGACGGGAGCGGCAGGCTTGTCTGCATCTTCTAAGGCAGGTGTCGTCTTGTTAGAGGACAATGACAGTTTCACTGCACGTTCTCTATCTTTCAACAGTCGCTCTTGCTTCCCTCCTGCTATGTATCCCTTGATCATACCAGTCAGGTAAGCATAGGTCTTCTCATGATGTCCTTCATCAAAGGTTTTGTATCGGTTGATATCGAAGGCCATAAGCTTTGAGTGTTCGATCTTCCGGAACAATGTGTCACGCAGGGAATTGTTGGAAGGCAGATCATCATGTTTCATGTTGTATACGATGTCAAGCCACTTGTTGTAGAATGCCTCAAGTTGGTCATCTCCATAATAGTTGAACATATACAAATGATGGGCATTGTAGAGAACTTCAGTGTGATCAGGTGATTTGAAACTAATCAATATCATTGCGAATAGTTCTCGTCCCTTGATGAAGTCCCCACTTCTCCCATACAATTGGTTCTTCATGGACATGTCATACTTCACTTGCATGGACTTGTCCCCAGCATTGTCAATGACTTTCCTCAAGGCATTGGAGAGCTTGGCATCAATGGATTGGAATCTCACATCGGGTGCTTTGGCCAGAGCCTCTAAGTCAGGTTGATCTGCAAGACACGGAGCTAGCCACGCTTTCCAATCTTCATAGTTTCGATCTCCACTTGCAACGCAAACTTCATGAACGACACTTCCCTTCCAGGATGAAAGTTCAGTGGTCTTAGGCCAGGGTTGGAGACTGATCTTTTCGGCTTCTCTTAGAGATACGGATGACTTAGATCTATCCTTTTCGAGGTTCTCCAACTCCTTGACATTGATGTTGTACTCGTTCCTGAGCTTCTCGAAGGCTTCAGCTTCTGCTCGGTATTCCTGCTCTTCGTCATTGGCACGATCTTCAGCTTGAGAGAAATTATTCTTATAGTAATCTTTACGATCTTCCATCTTCTTCAACTCATCTTGAAGATTTCGAACTTCATTGTTCTTCTCTTGCTTCATCTCGTCCAACTCTGCTTTCAGTTTGGCACACTTTTCTTCACATTCATTCCGAGGCATAGCACTACTGGGGTACCCATGTAATGTAGTCGGTCTACTCAATGAAGAAGAATGAGCTTGGTTTTCCAACTTCAGGGCAGCAATGGTGCTCGACATCTCTTCTATTTCAGCGAAACGCTCATTGGCCAATTGATGCATCTCGGTCAAATGGCTTTCGGGAATGGAATAGTCAGTCGCACCTTTGACCACGAGTCTTCTGTCGTTCAACATCTTGATGGACTTACCTGCATCCCTGTGAGCACGCTCAAGAGAGTCCTTTTGGGCTTCAAGTTCAATATGAAGGCGAGCAATAGCTGTATCCCTGTCATTGAGTTCATTGTGCAAACTGTCAAACAAGGTACTCGTCACATTCGGATTGTTGCTCATGTGATCGATCTTGTTCAGAGCATCTTGATATTTCTTACCAGTTTCATCAAAATTTCGCTGGAAGACTTTGAGAAGGTCCTCAGTGTCAATGAGTTCAGATCTATTCTGTAAGTACAACTTGTCAACTTCGGCCTTGGATTCTTTCAAGCTGTCACGTTCACGCACGGCTTGCATATACATTTCGTATAGAGGTCCTCCATGCGGTGATCTGCTTGGTGAAGATCTTCTGGCTTGTTGACAGGAAAGTTCATGATACTGATTCTTCGATTCAGTCAGTTGCTGTTGCATTCGATCTAAAAGACTTTGTTTCATGTGTAGTTCAGAACGTAGTCCCATTATCCTCATGTCCCGCATGCCACCTGATTCAGCTAGAGATTCTTCAGAAACCCTGTTCTCAGAAATCGCTAGTCGAGATTGTAAGTTCTCACTGTGGATCACCTGTAATCGAAGCTGAGATTCTTCCAAAGCTAAGTGATGTTCACATTCTGCATAACGGTCATGTTCATATCTTATGTTACTACGGAACTCCTTCATGATCTCGTCCCTCTTCATGTCAGCAGCATCTAACTCAGTTTCCAGTCGCCTGACATTCATGGCCATGGTGTGCTTCATCGTCTGGTTCTGATTGGCAACCTCGAGCATCTCGATCTGCAAAGCACATGTTTGGTCATTAGCATAGCCGACTGCTAGAGCTTCTTGCTTGGCATTCATCTCTGCGTTTTCCAGTTCCAGTCTGAGTTGATTGATGTGAGCATTCGCGTCAGTTCCCACATGTACCATAATTGCGTTTGCTTGTCCCATTTGTTCATCGAATTCCGAACGGAGTCGTGAATATTTGAATTCCAAATGAGATGCGGCTCATTCGACATAGTCTGATACCTTTCCAACTCTTCGATCCTGTAGGTCGCACCTTCGTCTTCTTGTTGTGCAGCCTGTAACTCGAAGTTCAGCATCTGGAGTTGTTCGGTCATCGACATCATCTCTTGATGAGTGGTGCTTTCCAGGAAATTAAATTGTTGATAGGCATATGCTGTCGTCTCGCTCAATCTTGCCTGAAGTACGGATTCTTCTTCAGTGGCCCTTTCCAGTGATGTCTTGTATTCAGCTAATTCACTCTGATAGGCAGTGAAGATGTCGCTACCACTTGACGGGGCGTTCACTTGTTGATAAGATCCTGTCCCTGATGGAGTAGCGTCCTGAATCGGTGAAGGCGGATTCGAAGACGTAGTCTTTGCCTTAGTCCTTGGAGTCATCGGAGGCGACAATTGTCGTGCAGATGATCTTCTCTTTCCAGGTGTGCTGTCCCTATCTTCAATTGCTTGCATTGTCGAAATTTGTCTCCCTCTAGGAGCAACCAGATGTCGCCTGGGTTGGCTTGTTCTCAATTCTGAGGCATCGCTTCCACCAGTGTCGATACTCTGTGAAGAATTTGACTGCGTGCCGGCAGCTGGTGCAACGGCATGTCCAGAGAAAGAAAATGCATTATCGCTGCTATCCTGTTCAGTCATCTGTAAGGCCCGCGGCTCCCCGCTCGTAGGCTCCGTAGGAGTCCTACGGCTGATAACCTGTGAATCGGAGGTTATCTCCCCGATTATGTACTGTAGCTTGATTTTGGAGTGGGTGTACTCAACGACGACAACACAGAAGTAACGGCTTCAGCATGGCAATTCTTTGTTCCGGTTCCTGCAGTGGTCTTGAGCCAAAGGGGCGGTTTGATGTACCCCTTGGCTGTGAATCTCGGAGGGTTGAATTATGTGCTAGTGTACAATGGTCCGTAGCCTACACTCTATTCGCAGGGTTATATAAAGTTATATGGAGTTGTATGGGGTTATATGAAGTTATATGGAGTTGTATGGGGTTATATAAAGTTATATGGAGTTGTATGGGGTTATATAAAGTTATATGGAGTTGTATGGGGTTATATAAAGTTATATGGAGTTGTATGGGGTTATATAAAGTTATATGGAGTTGTATGGGGTTATATAAAGTTATATGGAGTTGTATGGGGTTATATAAAGTTATATGGAGTTGTATGGGGTTATATGAAGTTATATGGAGTTGTATGGGGTTATATAAAGTTATATGGAGTTGTATGGGGTTATATAAAGTTATATGGAGTTGTATGGGGTTATATAAAGTTATATGAAGTTAATTGAAGTTATCTGATGGATATTGATGGATTCTGTGGATGATATGGTATCTCCAGTATTGTTGCCTATGGAGGATATCGTTTTTGGCAATCGCCGATATCTTCCTCTCGCAAACCAACATCGTCAACATCGAAGCATTCAACAAAAACGTTCCAAAAGAATGGCTTGGAACTGAGATGTTCCACTTCCATATATTCCATATATATATATATTCCATATTATATCTTCCATATATCATATGAATTGCCTGGGACGTTACTTCGCTCACCGACGTTTCGATCCAGGCCTGCAGGGCATCGCTGGGCCCAGGCCCTGACAGCAGCAGGTGCTCGGTGAGATGCGCCAGGCCTGGGAGGTCTTTGAGGTCGTCGAACTGACCGAAGGGCAGGGTGAAGGCCATCTCCATCTGATCCGTGGCATCGTCCTGGAGACATGAAGAAACAACGTGAAACCGGTTGGGGGTTGGAGAAATGTTGGGAAATGTTGGGAATGGAACATCTCTATCAGACTCCTATAAGATTACTATCAGACTCTAATAACTCTAATAGTTGTTCTAAATATGTCTGGTACGGTAGATGTTTAGTCTGCACGTGCATTCTGTGCCACTGAAGTTGGTTGGGCACCAACGTGCTTTTTGGTTTTAAAATGAACTTGTAGCACATTGGGCTTGCTTGTATGGCGACACTTCTTTGAGGTGAGTCGAACCGCAAAAATTGTAGATTGTCACAACGGCAGCACACTCTCCTCCACCAGCAGGACACGTAAGCCATTGCTCAAGCTAAATGCCGTGTAACTCCTCACACGGCCAGGCTTCGTTCACGAATGAAACAAATACCTTTGGAAAGGAAGATTTGCAACATGTCAACTCCAGCCGTTTCGCATCAAAAACCCCACCGGTTGTGCCCCAAAATTTTCTCAGATTCAAGACGCTCCAGATTCAACCACACACAGCTTAGCAGCATAACCCATCCTGGGTTTGTTCCACGGTGAATCGGCATTTCCCCCCGCCGATAGGACTTCTTCGGCCCATTGGACGTCAGCTTTGGCGTCGGCCGGCGTCCACGCCCCAGCTGCCCCAGCCGCCGCCACAGCATCGCGGCGCCGCCAGGGGAAGCTGCGCGGAGACACGGCGGTCACAGGGAGAAATAAAAGCAGCCACCGTAGCCATGGCATCTGCAAAGGTCATGTAGGTCACAAAAAAAGTCAAGCTCTCAGGATTGGGGAGATCCCACGAAAGTGAAATGGGATCCAGGGTCCGTAAAATGGAAAGGACGAAGAACAAACACTCTTGTGAGGGGTTTGAAGAGGTCGTAAAAGGTGAATCAAAAAAAGGCATTGGTCGCATGATCTTCCTTTTACGGCAAGGTGAGCGAAGAAGAGTGAAGAACTGCGAAAATCATCCATGCTTTTGGTGATCTTAACGCTGCCATTGCTAACGTCGATGCAAGATTCAGCGAGGAAATTGGCAGCGGCTTGAAGTCACCAGGTTGCGCGGACGGCACAGCGTCCAGTTCTAGGGTTCGTGGAATTCTCAACTGAAGTTTCATGTGAAGTTCCTTGGAGATGATTTTCAAAAGTTTGCAGGGCCGCTATTCCACCTAAATATTGCTTCCAACAAAAGGCTTCTAGGGTGTCATAGTTCTGATTTTGAAGTTGTTGCATGACCTTTCACCCAACCCACTACTCCACAAAATGGCCCATGGCCAGCCTGATTGCCGTGGCTGGGGGTACCATCCCCATCTGCCAAAAGTTTCTCCCCTCTACGCGATGCGAATGAGTCAGCAATCGACCAACGGGCGCGCTCAGATCACGTCGCTCACGGCCTTGCCTTCTTTCCAGCCTTGCAACAGCTGGCAGTCTCAAATATGGAATCTGCCACCGCAAACTGTGGTAGATGGTTCAGACCCACTTTGGATATCCGCAAACTCAACTTGGAGGATCATATCAGGAATTGCTTCATGTTCACAGTTGTAACCCAAACAGCATGAAAATAGCCCAACTATATAGGGAACAATAAAATTATAAGGAACAACTCCTAAGGGCATCCAATTGGGGGACTTCTACATTGGCCAGGCTTAGCGCCCACTCCAACTGAATCCTGCTATGATGTCACTGGTCACCATTTTGTGACCAGTGATCATGCTCCTTTCCCCAAGAATCCTCTAAACAAACCCTCTCTCTCTCTATCTCTCTCTCTCTCTCTATCTCTCTAAATTTGGCAATATTCCAACCCATTCACCTTAGTTTCAATCCCACTTAAGATCCAATAAGCACATAATTGCACATATCTTGAGTTTTGACATGTTGTGACCCACCAAATAAAACAGCTTCCACCTTCCAAAACCAGCCGCGCCTTGTCGCCACCTCCTCCCGCGCGCTTCTCAGGTCCCGCGGACTGCCCGCCGCGGCCACGACCGCGACCCTCGCCTTTGCCGCGGCCACGGCCTCGGGCCTTGAACTGCTGACGGATCTCCTGCACGAAATGGAACGGGAACGACGGGGACAACGGGGACAACAGGAACAACGGGAACATGAAAAGGTTATCTGATTGTACCCACATCACTGGGATTTCGAGATGGGGTATCAAATCGTCTTTGGAAGTGGTGGACAAGTGTGTTGTGTTACATTTGCAATGGAATGGGGGAGATGGTTTGAAGCAGTACTCAGTAGTGGTTTGCGGACGTAGGCAACAAAACCATCAGCAGGAGCACCTGCAAGATGTTGGATTGCATTGGATGGCTCCGGCCAGGGAGTTAACAAATATGATCAGACGTGCGGAATGTCTTCGGGTTTCATTAGGATAAAATACCCTCAATGACGCTAGTGACTCCATTTCATCATGTCTCTTGGCTTACATTTCCGTCCATTTCCACACATCTCTAACCTTTCACAGTGCTGTGAAGCACCCAGCATACCCCATGGCAGGTCCTTGCGTGACTGTGGCTCATCCTTCACCATGTCAATGACCTGCCATGCCGCTTGGTTATTGGCTACACCCCTGTTTCAAAATCTACAATAGGCATCAAACATCATCACACGGTTGATTGGGATGGTTGAACAACAGCCGCCTCATCGGGCAAACGGAGATATTTGATGCTGTTGCCCCGCACGTAGCACTCCGGGATCTTCCAAAAGCGTTCGCCATCACGAGAGGTGCACACGATATCGCGCATGTGCCTCACCAGGGACATCCCGGGCCGGGAACCAAGGTCATGGCAATCTGGTCATGAGTAATGGTGAATCTTGATCCCCTACCGCTGCGGCAAACGCGAATATCTAGGCTGCAACCCGGACCAAGTGAAGTACCCCAGGCATTGGGTGCTGTTTCTTCCCAATTTCCCAGCAGATTTGATTTCGTCTTCATCACGTATCAAATATGTCACCAACTGCAGCTACCTTCTATCCTACTCGCCACAAATAGCAACTATGATCAAACCATCGGAAAAAGCGTACAAGCGCTGGGGCACCACTAAACATTTCTGGATTTGTGGGACAACTATCATCATACAAATGAGCTGATCACCACATTCCTATGCCCAAAAATGCTCGGAACGGAGGGGCAAGGGACAGGTTCATGAAACCATCGCAGGAGGCCAACACTCCACTGTAGGTCTCTCCGTTCTTCAGCTCCACCATCCTGGAGCGTCACATCCGTTGCATCCCGGCACACAAGACCAAACAGAATCAACATGATCAACATATAGTGTGACTTTCAATTGCAAAATCCAGAGTCTAAATGGCTAATTCTGTCTTATGACATTGAAACCCCCATTTATCTGGATCCAACTTGCATTCGAATGGGGCATCCCTCATGGCGGTACCAGCTGTGTCAAGGTGCATAGGCTGATTCTGCGCCGTTCGCAGTAAGGACATGGGAAGCACCATTGTGCCGTGATCAAACGAGGATCTCGCGGATTGTCCTCCAGTCCCTACAGTCCCTACAGTCGTCCCTGAGCCGAATGGCTGCGCTGTGGATGCGATCATCATGTGCTCCGAAAATGCCAAGGCACGGTGCTTGTGGCCACCTGTTTTTGCCACCGTCAAATTAGTTACAGAAAGCTGGCGAACAGTGCACCACCCTGGCGACATTCCACTAGCCAACTGTTGGAGTGGGTGTTCCTTGCAATTGGGATGCCTCTCTTAAAAAAACAACTGCTCACCACTGGTTGGTTTCTCTATCAAAATATTCAAACATGACCAGCTGGTTGGTGGTTTCAACCCCTCTGAAAAATATTAGTAAGTTTGGATTATTCTTCCCAACATATGGAACAATAAAAAACTGTTCCAAACCACCATTTTCCCATTTTCTTTTGCGGCCAGCAGTAGTCTCGACTGCTGCCCGTCTTGGGCGCTCAAGCAACCGTAGTTGTAACAAGAAAAGGCTGGAGTCGGTCATCAGCATCGGCAAAGGGCAAAGAATCAATGATTCGGGCCTGTCTTCGAAATGTGGTGTGACACTTGCTCAGCATCCACTCATCAGCAATTGAAATTCTCTCCAAAGGCCACGGTAGGGCTGCACAGCCTGTGTACATTTGCACCACTTGTGAAAACGGTTTGCCGTATGCAAATTCAACCTGAATTCCAGCATGTCTCAAAATTTCTTTCCAACATTTGGTGAACCAACGTGCTCTCTGGCGAAAGGAAAACCCCAGGAGGCGGATGCCCTGGATGTCCTTGCCGTTTCTCCACTTGGACTGGTGTACCGGCCCGGGCTCACCCGTCGTTAACATGAAGTCCACATAGAGCTGGAAATGTGAAACCCAAATCAAATCTTCTCTGCTACCATGCACCACTTGCCAAAACCAACTGGCTATGGTTCTTACCAACGGGTCACCGTACCATCGAATCGCCTTGTCAGGTGGGTGAAACGTCGGAATCGGTCTCCAAACCTGAGGCGGAGGCAATGTGGCATCTTGCGGCATCTGGTCATCCTGCATAGGACTTTCCTGGCGTACAACCTCCCTGCTAATGGTAAGCAAAACTCTCTGGATGATGCGATTGATCTCAGTAATGTTGATACAGGCACAAACATGTCGATCAAACAGCTCCCAGAAATGTTGTGGCCTATGGAAATTTGCTCTGACAGCTTGCTTATCAGCCAGCGCGTTGTGCCGAAAACACCATTCTTGCAGGAAATTCGTAGCAGAACCCTCATGCCTGTGAGCCGAAACGTGAGTAATGGCGGTGGCTGCCACCCTGTCCTGCAAACATTCAAAAATTTCATTCCAAAGGTCAGAATGAGCTGAGTTTTGTTGGACACCCCCCAGGAGCAACTTGCGAAACCGTTTCACAACAAGCTCACTATCGCTCCAAATCATGACGGGTTGGGATGAAAACCGTGTAATTTGCATGACTCTAAGAACAGCATAGATCTCCGCCCTGACAGAGCTCTGCAACAGACCTGGCAAAACTCCTGAGTCAACGATCGTACTGCCAGAGTAATCATGCACTGCATCTGTGTCTCCAAACACGATCGCCCAACCCGCAAAACGCCTGTTGGGGTAGTGCTGCAGATGACAACTACCGTCAGTGAAAAAGTTCAACTTACATGGCAAATCAAACTTAGGGATGGGTGTAGGCACAAGCTGGGCAAAATAGCTGTTCCACTCATGTTGGGTGGTAGGCGCAAGGGACCACCCTGAACACGTAGTTGCTTCTGGAAGATCAGGCAACATATCATGCACATGAGGCGGAATATCGGATCGCGCAAATTCAAAATGTTCACAGAGCCAGAAACGGTGAAAACGATTGTCGCTGTTCCCACAGTATCTACACCCATCATCAGTGCTTTCCTGGCAATATTGTTTACCATCTTGGGTTATGTGAGTACCATTGAGGAGTTTCCGAAACAAAGCTTGGTCTGAGACGGGCAGGGACTTAAGCCAGCTTCTCGTGTCTCGTGGGTCAACACGATCTAAGCCCTGGAAACACGGGCGGTGGTCTGTTAGAGCATGGACAACCAAAGGCCAATGGATTTCAACACGATACTGCAGTTCTGCAGTGGAAATCAAAAAGAGTGAAAAGTTTCCCACCATGTCAACAATGTGACCGCTTTCATTCACGTGCCATCCCAGGCTCTGGATTCTGGTGAGCAACGTATGCGTGATACTGTTGGCTGGTAGGTCAGTGCGGCCCAAAGCCAAACTTGCTAACACCTCTTCCACCCTATGTTGATCCCCACAATCACGTGCCAAACGAAAAGTCTGAATGATTGCCCACACCTGCGGGTCATTGGTGGGGTCCTCGATTAGGCCAAGGTGAACCGTTGCATTGGCACCTGCCGCATCCGACTTGAGCCCTTTCAACGCGCCTGCCCGTAAAGAAGTATACGTTGCAGTGCTAACAGTGGTGGCTGCTACTGCATGCAAACATCTGGGCCATGCGGCGCTTTTGATAGCACGGACCTTTTGCCTATAAGGGCAAGCAGAAAGTCGCAACTTAGACCACAACGGCCCCGCTTTGTGTATGCGGTCCATGAGGCATTTATTGGTGTGCTGGCGTGTATATTGTACGTGGGCACCCAAACTTTTGCTAAATGCCACTGTGCCAAACCCTTGTGTGCGAAGAAAGCTCCTACCATCAGCTGAGACAGACCAGACATGCGTCTTACGCTGGTCAAGAAGCAAATCAAGAGCCTCAGTGAAACGTTCCAGGCAGTGAAACACCCCAGGCAAGCTATGCGGATCTGCAACAATGACCTGCCAGTCGTCCACATATGACATGGGTTGGCAGAGAGGAAAGAAGTGTACCATCCACTCATGGAACAGAATGTCAATAACCATCATTCCCAAGCATGAAAGAGCACAACCCTCAGGGAGCCCACAGTTGCTGTATGCTGGGGGGCTAATGCTTCCATTCACCTGGAACCGGCGGGACATCAGGGAAAGAGCACCTGACCAACCTCTCAGCAGTGAAAAGGGGATTCCCAACAGGGCACAACTTTCAATGACCACTGCACGAGGCAAAAAGTTGAACGCTTTTTGTATGTCCGTAATGATCCCGCACAATGGCGTGGAGAGCTCATACGCCATCTCTATGGACCAAAGCATCTGTGACCAAATCTGACCTGCGTATCTTTGAGGTCTACTACCGTATAGGCCTAATGGCAGGCACTGGCCAATGGCACGGATTGCATGCCTCGCATGAAAGGTGCCCCAGCAACGGTAGAGGATGCTAAAGATGGTTATGGGTCGAAAATCTAAAGCATGCTGGGGTTCAGCCGTTTTGGCTAAGCAAGAGACACGGCCGGCAATAACCTGGGCAGGCCACAGGCCTTCGTCTTCAGCTTGTTCAAACATGGAGATGAAATTATGGAGCGCAGCAACCGGTAACGCCTGCAGGTCGTGCAGGGACACGCCATCTAGCCCCCCAGACGTGGTCTTGCGTTTGTGCTGGATGCAGTATGCAAGTGCATTGACATCAATGGCTGGCCAAGACAAAGATTGACGCCTGAGCTTGTCTCGAGCAAATTGCAAAATGACATCCCAACGTCCTGGTGAAACCTCACGATGACGATCCCACATCACTTTCCATGTTTCAAGGAACATCTTGAAAAGCTCATCGTCCGTTCCTTTGCATTGCAATTGTGAAACAGTGGAACCAACTTCAATTGAATCTACCTGGCTGACCCACAGTGCATCTGCCTCAGCATGTATGATGTCAAGCTGCGCCCCAGAGCAGAAAACAGGTTTGCTGAGGTCAAAGGCAACTGGCTTATCCAAAACGATTTCCAATGTTTGAGGGTGTACCTGCTCAACTTGTGCCTGCTGCGGTTTGAGCAGGACATTGATGCCTCGATTTTGAAAGGTTTTCAAATCATGGAAAATCACATTGGGGTCCATATCCCGCCGCTGCCTTGCATACGCACGAGAAGCTTGGTGCAGTTCCTTTTCAAAAGCTCGAAAGGCCATCACCATTGACTCATAAATATTCAGCACAACTGCGAACACCGGTGGGACCAGCGGAATAGTTGAAACGGTGCCATGGACAACATGAGAGTTATGGGGCCACCATTCAACAAAGGAAGGAGAGAACCCAGTGGCTCTCAAAATGGAACCCCAAATTTGCCTAGCATGTTCAGTATGCTCGCTCTGTGCTTGGACATGCCGCATATACGCCTGCAACCGGCGCGTCTGTCTAAGCCATTGCGAATGGCGAAAGGAGGCACACACATAGTGAGGCTGAACATCCCCAGGCCTCGCCTTCTTAGGCGGGGGCACTTTGCCGGCAAGTTTTCTCTGAACAAGTCTTGTGGCAGCCCTACCTTTGGATTTGTCAGGAACCTCAAAAGGGAGGCTCTTACATGCAGTATCTTCAATATGTTGCCAAAGCAATTGGTATTTCGTGTCAGGGTCACAGTCACAATGTTTCCAGAACGTTGGATCTACTTCCCAATGTGCCGGCCATGGCATATCATTCGGTGTGGTCCAGATAGTCCTAGGCACCAATTGCTTGAAACCTGCGAAGGTACCAGAGAGCACAGCATGGTCTGGGAAAATGTCGTGTGAAACATGAACAGCTTTCAATAAAACTTGCAATTCTTTGGACACGAAACAGAAATCTTTCCTCGTGCTGTGTTTGCACGTGTGGGCGACCGGCTGGCCCCACATATCGTGAGCGAGATCCTGCAAATCTTTAAAACCTGCTGCTTCCAACACGTCAAAAACTGGCAGTGCTCCCATCTCACAATTCCAATCACCTGCAAGAAAACGCGGACCACTGGCCAAGTGGCAGACATGTCCTGCAACATGGTGTAAAAGCTCTTCATTATGAACCTTATAGTGCGGGTAAGTGCTACTCTCTGGTTCACCATAAACAGTTCCTCCTGTAAGCCACACATCTCCTACCAGGGTAGTGGTGATGAGTGTACGGGATGAAGCATGAATGAATGTCAGCATCATGTGTGGAACTTCACGTGTCGGAAATTTGGATAAAACAGCAACACCTCTCCAAGCGGCATGGAAGACACGGTTATTTTGCGCAGGGACGGGGTGTCCACCAATGCAATAAGGAAAGGGGCTTCTTGCAAAATGCAAACTGGAACGAAAGGCATGTATAGCCTGGCTGCACAAATGAGTTTCGGAAAATGCCCACAAATCCCCATGAGCGAGATGTGAAACAACATAAGGGGCTTTCCCCTTCAACCCGGATGGGTTGCATGCCCCAAGCACAAAATCTGGATTGACAGGCCCTGGATTAGCGGCTTCACCAATTCTACACATCAAGGCAAAGGCAAAAACATACGGCCATAAACGTGGAGTTCGCCGGAGCGACGTACCTTGACACACAGTCAAACCCCTCAAAATTGTGAAACAAGCAGACATGAGGCCCAGGATTCGGAAAACAAGCCACGCCAACAAAAGTGAAACACTGCAGCAAAGCTTAAACCCAAATCCCTGGCCGTGCAGTCATTCCAGGCTGTCCTCACGTGGACGTTTGGCCAACAGGCCTCTTATCTGCTGCATCTGTTGCTCGAACAATGATTGCATGTTCTGGTTCTGGCTTTCAAGGTGTCCGTGCAACTGCTGTGCTTGTGCCGTGGGTGTTGTAAGGCATTGATCTGCTGGGAGTGTTGCCCACTGAAATCGTGAAACTGTGATTCAAGCCCTTGTTGTTTTGCAAGCAATTGGTGCACTTGGCCCTCCAGTGCGTGGACTCGATCTGGCAAGTCATCTTCCATCGGAGGTTGCAACTTGGAGAGAACAGCCGATTGGATACGTTCCTCAATCTGTTGTAGACCTTCATTTGGTCCAGTGGCAGTGGCATTACCTGCAGGGTGATACTGCTTCCAGGGATCATTGGTGGCCCATGGATCCTGGTCCGGCTTGGAGGCTTTGTCAGCACCGCACAGGGCCAAAGTGGCCGCGGACCCAACTGTAGTGGGACTTCTGGCTGGCAATTGCTGTTCCGGCTTTTGACGTGTGATGACAATTTCACCACAAGTGGTGACCACAATTGGATGCTCGGGATCATCCGTTGCTTGCACTGACCACATGGTACCACGGCCTGGGCAAGGGGCCGTTGGCTGGAGTGGCCGGCTTTCCCAGCCAGCTTGCTGCAGGGTTTTGGCTACCGCCTGTCTATCCGCTCCATAGGGAAACGGGCCAACAGTATACAAGTTCTTAGGACCATTCGGAAGGAACACTGTGTCTGGTCGGACCTGCTGGTGAAGTGCTTTTGCCTGGTTCACATGCACTCTCAACCCCCGGCGTTCACCTAAGCGTGCCAATCCTGTCACTGCTGGATTGGTTTGCATGAGATGTTGCATCTCCTGTGGTGTATGCTTCTGGGTCCACACAACCGTGTAATCTCCCAAGATCTCTTTGCCGTCAGCAGTCCTTGGTTCACAATAGGCTCCTGAGGTGCCACTGGCTGCAAGCAAGGCTTCCAAAATGCACATAGGAATCCTAAGGCACACCGAGAAGATTTCAGCTTTGGATGCCGGGCACGGCTTGAACCCAGTCCGGAGAAATTGGCGGCGCCACACATCAAGGATTGGATCTCGCAGTGGGAGGTTTTCGGTATTGTGCCATGCCTGACACTGGCAGTTTGTGGTGAAACATCTCTTGAGTTTCGGCAGGAGTGAGACTAAACATCGAATGGGAGCTGCACAGAAGTCGTCCCAATCACCTTTCAGTTCATCCTTGTAAACCATGATTTTGAGGGTGGCAACTTCAGGGGTCTCAACAGTAACCATGGCATTACCACTGGCCTTCTCGACAATACCAGTTCCAAGCTGTACAACGAGGACATCAGCTAAAACGGGTTCGCTGTTGACCGTGCATCGGCATGGGACAGTGACTGGCGTGTGCGGAAGCACAGTCTGGACATCGGTACCTGCCTTCTGCAGGATCAAAAGTGCAAGTGGTTCACGAGACACAATGGTTCCGGCTCTGAGGTAGGGCTCAGCATCATGAAGGGAAATAAGGATGAAACCGCTGCTCACAGGTCCAATTTGTTTCATGTTCAATTGGGGGATGGGTTTACCTGCACAGTGAAACGTGCCTTCAATGACCTGAAGTTTTGCTGGGTCAAGTTCACTGGGCAGAGGGAATGATTTGCCCTTTCCCTTACCTTTCGAACCAACGGCTTTGCCCTTATTGGACTCAACAGCAACAGCAAGCTCACTGGGCAAAACAAACTGAAATTTGGAATTGGTACCCAAGATTTTCAATTGTTTCCATGGCTGTCTGTGTGCAAGGGCAGTAGCAACTTGTTCACTGCCAAGGGAACGAATGGCTGCCAAAGCCCGGTCTTCAACCACATTTTCAGGAATACCATGTTTCAGAAGCTCTTGCACAAGTGACTTAGTCAACTGTCCTTGAGGTCCAAAACCCCAGCGCTCGGTAAGGGCATCAGCTTTGGGAGACCCTTCTCCAACGTAGTGAAGGTACAGCCATGCACGGATGCATGAATCGACACATGCGTGAAGCCCGCCTGCCCACGCAAGGACAGTCCAAGTGTAAGCTCCACAACAGATTTTGTCCCTGGCTGGCATGAGGAAGAAATTCCAATTTGAAAAGGAATCACAAAGGGACTTGGCAACAGGACTTTCTTCAATCCATACCCAAAGCGTCTGGCCAATTTTGCAACATACAATCGGAATCCAGTGAAAATCAAAGAGGACGGCCAATCCCCCAAAGTGGCGTCCCGATGTCCAAAATGAGCAAAGCAGTGCATGTACATGATACCAGCTATCAAGGGCAATGCCCAGGGCAAATGTACAAGGCAACATAGCAGCCAGCCTCTGAAGGTGAAATTTCATTTCATGATGGCTCATCCCTCGCATGCTACCAAACCTGTACGTGCACTTGTCCCCTAGCCCAATGGGTACAGACACCAATGTATCCTCATCATCAGGCATTATAGGGAGTAGCCTGGATTCCCCTGGGGCGCCCCATCCCCACTTGGTGGGCAACACAACATCGGAGTGTTGGATGGCTTCAGCAAAGATTTCCTTCATGTTCCAACATCTGGTGCGCAACTGGTGGACATCAACTGGCAGGCGCGTTCCCAATGCGATGTGTGCCAGGAAGCTGATGGACATCGCTCCACACAAACGTGAAACATCCAGACCATGTGGCACTCGGTGGATCATTACATCAGTGAAACCGAGGAAGTGGGCAAGGTCCCCCAACACTTGTGTGACAACTTGGTCATCTTTTGCAAAATCCCACAGAGTATGGCAGTGCGCAGAATCTCCTTGAGGTGAAATCCAAAATGGGACCCAATGCTGATCCACCAACATAATTGCAATGACCTGAGTATCTCTGGGGTTGTGAATCCAATGGATATTGAACCAATCTTGCATGAGTGTCTGATCGCCATCTTTCCATGCTTCAAGTGCAAGTGGTGGAATCATGGCAAACTTGCGCACTGGTCCGACCACCCAAGGACCCTGAGAATGGCATTCAAGAATATGTCGGAGATGGAATTCAATCTCATCATTACCCATAGCATAGCTGTGTGAGACTAGCATCGTACTCCTATCTTGTCGTCGTTGGTCAAGAGCAGCTTGGTCTTCCTCGGGCATTATAGGGAGTTGCCCGGATTCCCGTGGCGTACCATTACCCCACACGACAGGTCTGGGTGTATATTCAATGGAGTACAGGTGTGCAACAAATGAGGCCCTCATGTTGGTATGAACAGTCCTCAGTTCATGCAAATCTTCAGGCAGGGGCATGTGGACGATCACATGTGCAATGAAGGTCAAGGCATGGGCCCCACACATCATATGCTCCGGCAGTCCTTGTGGGATCCTGTGGATGACATGAGCACTAAAGCCCAGCTTTTCCGCCAATGTGGAAATGATGGCTTCAACAGGAGTGAAGTCAACGTCTGATTGGAACGTGTGAACCTGGAGGGTTTGCCCGTCAGGGACCATCCACAAGGGTAACCAATGATCATCAACCGCAACAGCAGTGACAACATTTTGTCCATGTGCAAAGATCTGTGGGTTCTTCAAGCACCACTGGCTCGCAATGATATGCCCGATAGAATCCCAGCAACTGAAGACCAAGGGTTCCATGGATACAAATTTCCTTTCATGAATAGGCAGAGAAGCATTTGGCTGGTTATCCACAAGGTTCAAAAGGTGAAACCTGACTTCATCATCACCCATGGCGAAACCCTTTTCATTAATCAAATCAATTCTTTGGTCACGTGTGATGTTCACCGCCAGTTGCAGATCATTAGCTGCGACTCGGGTTCCTGCGGTTTTGTCGCCCGCACCCCAGATCCATGGGCGACGGGCAATTTGGCATCTTGCGAGTTCTTTGGTATATGCCTCTTTCAATCGTGCATGGATGACTGTTGCATCAGTGCAATCACTCGGGAGTTGCGTCCCAATCAGCACGTGCCGAATGAAAGCAATGGCCAAAGCCCCACAGAGCTCAGTGGTGAAAAACAATCGGTGCTCACGTAAAATCATTGCTTCTTGGAATCCCAAAGCATCGGAAAGGGCAGTGATGACCCCCTCAAGACCATCATGTGAGGCATTCATTCCGTCCCAGGTATGGACGTTGAGGACTCCTTTCACCGGGGACATGAACAGTGGTACCCAATGACCATCAAGGAGGGCGACCGTTACAATAGGCACCCCTTTGGTAGAAATTTCAGGATGGTCTCTTGCCCACAAAGCAACATCAAATCCCTTGTTCTGGACCCACGCAGAGAAAACCAGGGGGTCAATCATACAAATCTCAGGAAAGGTACCTCCAGCCTTGACACGGGCATCCTGGCATGCTTGTACTGTGGCATTCAAGTGAAACCTGATTTCATCGTCGGCCCAAAATTGCATCTGGCTCTCAAGGATGGCAATTCTGTCGGATGTGCGCAGGAATTGGTGACGCAGCGACCAAAGCTGTTGCGCGTTCAACACGCATGGAACCTGCAGTTTCAGGAATTGATCACCCGTAAGGCCTTGCAAGGCAGACGCGTCGAGCCAAGTTTGATCATCAGGCAGAACCATGGTTGGTGTGACACACTCACCTACATCGAATTTTGAAACTTTCTGCGGTATAGAAGCCATGGGTGTTTCGATTGCCGGCTGAGACCAAATCGCAGTTGGAGAGACAGCAATCTCATGGGTGGCTCTTTGGGGAACATTCTCACTCACATGAATGACGATCAATTGACCCACCTCAAGCACATGATCTCGGTTGATACACTTACCATTCAGGGAAATGTAATCAATATCCACATGCTCAGTGAGACCAAATTGGGCTTGCAGGAACTGCTCAACTGTTGAGCCACACTTGAGTTGAAACCGGATTGGCGGGTCAGCACTGCCCTTGAATACCACCGTGCATGAGTCGGCGCACATGCAACCAACTGTGTTGGGGTCATCAACAATGGCAGGAAAGTCAAAGACTGGAATTTCCTCTTCTTCAGACTTGCCATCAATCTCAACCACCGTGGGTTTGACTCCCATATGGGTTCGGATCAAATAGTCCAGAATGGAAGCAATACTGACAGTGCCATCAATTTTCCCCTCCCATCTAAGTGGAAAGACCAGTTCAAGGAGCGAAAGGTGTTGAAGTTCCTTCCAAAACATCATCATGTCGCAAAGTTTCTGATCTTGAATCAAACATGCATCCGTTGGCCACACCTGTCTGCATCTCATGAGGAGCCATGACCTGTAAGCCTGGATTTGAGTGTTTGGGTCAAAAGAAGGAAAATTTCTCATGACATCCAGTCTTTCCAATATGGCACCGAAGACCCATAAAGCCTGCAACGGACAAGCAATCTGGCCGACTGCCGAAAGGGTGAGACGAACGTCGGTTCCAAAATCAATCACAGGATCAAACGTGTTTAAACACATCACTTCATTTGGGTGCAGGTGCCGAATGACGGACGATCCATCTGGAAATTGAGCACTGCGAGTGAGACATCCATGGAGTCCCTTGCTGGCCAAACGAGCATGTGAAAAACCCGACTTCCTGCAACCGCATGGGCAAGCTCTGGTCTGAGATCCCCAAGCATGAAGAGCACATGGGGCTTTTCCCTTCCCGTTGAGCAAATATTTGAAATGCTTTTCATCATTTACCCCAAAAGCCTCAAGTTCGATTTCATCAAGAGCAAGTTGATGTTCATCATTGGAAGCCCACAATCTAATGTCTGGAATAACCTGTTGCACTTCCTGGATATTCTGTAAAACTGGCCAGGCTTTCAGCTCTACCGGTCCAATGTCTGGGGATGATAAGATCCACCACGACCTATGTCTACGGCAGGGCCATACATGGTCAAGCTTGAGTTCAGTTTGTGTGCAATGGAAACCAGTGCATTTCATGAAATGGGATAACTCATTGCGAACGAAACCATCTTGTGAAACTGGGGCAACACATTCCAAAATGATCAACTGAGATTGCAAGTAGTACGCAGTTTTGAGGGTTTTGGTGAGACTACTAGACCTGTCGTCCTCATGGCTTTTGCAATCGCCCAAAGTGGAAAAGGGCTGGCAACTGAATCCCGAGGTAACGGTTGCAGCACCACTGGAATGGCGCCAAATCTCACTCACAACATTTCTGTCACCCACGTCCCCACAGATCAAATGGGCCTCACCAACCTTGGAGTAGAGATCCAACATCCGTTGGTTCTGGTCCACGGCAACTTGCACTGTGAAACCAGATGCCACTGCACCTTGTGCCAAACCTCCGAACCCTGAGCAAAGGTCCACCACGGACAACAATGAGTCCCATGAAGGTCGTCGGTGGCCCATGATAATAGTGTCACGTGTAGAAACAATCACAGGAATGGGATATTGCTGTTTCAAAACGCCACCCCAGACAGTGAAGGAGTGAAACTCATCACACAGTAAACCTTCAAGCAGAAAAGAAGTCCCGTCCCTTCCAATCATGAGGTGTGCTGAATGTTCAATGTCGAAAACCTTGATGGAACAGACGATGTCGATCTGGGAACCAGAAGCAGTCGTACCGATGGACATGGGGTAGCTCGAAGACATGGCAAGAAATGGGGGGAAACAGAACCACCCAGCGATCAGTTAAGAAACGGCCGCACTACTGGTAAGGGCTTGGGCTGTCACGGCTGTTCCAAACCACCAACCAGCAAATAACTTGGATGATTTCGGGGTACCCCGATGTTATGAAACCACCTGCTGCCACGCCTTCTGCACACGCCCTGATGGCAGTAGTGCAACATTGGGCATCGAGCTGCACCGATGTTGCCGCTGTGACCAGGAGCTCCAGGGCCAACTGCCAAACCTCCAAAGGCAAACGAATCGTCAAGTCGGATCAAACACAAAGAAGGACTGAAAGATCAAAATGTCATGGTTGTCCAAGAAGTTGTATGCTTAGTGCTTTATTTGTTTTTGCTAATGTGAACGATTGATTATAGAACAGCAATTTCCCTGTTTTATGGGACAGAAGACGCCTAGGTCGGCCTGGGTGAATCCAACATCAAACAAGACGAGGCCACAAGGGCAGAGAACCCTCCCAGGGCCTGTGCACAGCCAGAAATAACAGAGCTGTAACTCACCACATCCGGTTGCAGGCCACCCTGCAGCTGCCTTGGCCAGAGGCCCGGTGAAATCCACATCATGGTGAAATGCTACCAGCTTAGAATTGGGGTGCACCCACCATCCCCTGAAGTAGTGACAGCATTAGGAGATTGACCGCAGCCGCACACGGTGAAATGTCAAGGGCAGCCAAGGAGCATCTGATTGAGCAGTGCCAAGGCAGTTTGCCATTGCTCTGCTCGCACGCAACAGTCCAACAGAGCATTGCACGAGATCACGCTGTCGCAAAGACCTCGTGGATGTCAACTTTGAGACACCCTCTGAAGAACTTTGAAAAAAAATATGGAGCCAGCCACGAAAACGATCATCACATATCATCACTTTTCCAGGGCAAGACGGGTGACTTTTGATGCGTATATTGAAACAAAGGCATCGGAACTTGACAACTTCAACTTTCCAAATGATCCAAGGCACCACCCAACTGCAGCGCCCAGTGCCACGTCGCACCCGCACCACGAACTGCGGACACGCTGAGACCATCGGGGCGTAAAGCGCAAAGCTGCCTGGGCTGGTGATATCACTGTGCCATCTCGCTGCAATGATTGGATGCCCAGGATGCCCAGGGGGCCCAGGATGCCCATCCCCAAGTTTTGACGAGACAATGCGAGGTTTTGAATGTTGCGAGGTAATCAGTGTTGTTATAGAAAAAATCAGCAATTCCGGAAGTGACGAAGCACTGATTAATGGATTAATGGATCTATCCCCGATAGTATGATCCCAAATCTGACTTTGGATAACTTGGGGACTTGGGGATGTAATCATGGCAACAATTTTGAAGCCGAGCAGCATCTCCGAGACCAACGTCAGAACTCGTTGCCACGAAAGATTGGAATTCATCGCAGTGTTGTGACCTCTGGCAACGTGCTTCACTGGCCATGTTGGCCCCAAATCAGAATGGAAAATGCTGAGCTCTTCGCCTCTTCATTTGAGTCTACAGTGGCACATGAACCATCCCAGCATCCCGGCCACGCTGTGCTAAGCAGCAGACTGATCGCAAGCAACTCGACCTGCAAAGCCTGGACGTCCTGCACCCAGTTGAGAACTGATTTCAAGAATAGTAGAAATCTGCAGTTAAGAAGTTCCTAAGGTTCAAGCCAGTCTGTGTGGAAATACGCAACGGGCCCTGGCCCTGGGAATTTTATATCGGCTGTTCCAATCACTGCGAGTGCTGCCAAGGAGCCGAAAGCCTCAGTTTGAAGCTCAAACTCTTGGACCGGGAATGGTCACTGGTCGACATGTTTTCTAAGGCGATTTGGACGCCATTTCGGGACACGCAAAAAATGGAAGAAACAGCAACTTTTAGGGAAGTCACGTGAGCAGGTCACTTGCTATTCTGTTCAAACATCCAAGATCATTGCAGAAATATAGCAACCTTCCTCTCCGATATGTGTCCTTGAAATCGAACATGCAACCGAGTGCAAATCTGCCAAGGAACAACCGGACTGCGCTTTGCCACCGGCCGCGGCACGCACCGCTGGCGGCACAGTGCATGGCAGGCCCAGGCTCCTCCATATCACGGGGATAGAACCCAAAATCTACTGTGCTGGGTATGCCAGTAAAATCGGCATACTAGAATAGGCATACTGGCAATATACAAGCGGTATAATCCGGTACTGTCAACCCCGTATGAATAAATCTCTGACCACTATTGTGGGGGCACCCCCAAATTCATCAACTAAGATTTAATCTCATTAACATTCCCCTTTGTAGTTGGTTCCAAACCACATCATAACGGTGATTAACATTGTTTTGTATATATATATATTATGATGTTGAATGAGGTCCTGCCATGTCAGTGATGACAATGGGATTATAGTCATTATATGATCTTATTATCTATAGTCTCATCTAATGATAAATGGAATTATAGTCGGATCCCATCTTCATGGGGGATAATTCTATTATAATTCCATATGATTATTAGATCATTTTCTAATATGGATCCATTATAATACATTATAGAATGAGACTTGAGACTATAATGACTATAATTCCATTTCTGAGATCTCATCCTCTCCCCTACCGCAGCTCCAGACTCTTCTTCTTGGCGCCCGCGAGCAGCTCCAAGGCACTGCCCTAGCGGCAGTAGCGAAGCGACGAATGGAAAACACACTTGGAGGCCCATGACATTACTAAAATATACTAAGATAATCTAAGATATACTAAGTTTACTATTGAATATATATATATATACATATTTTTTTGCATGCTATTGAATATTGAAAAAATGCCTTACAAACACACACATCCATGCATGTCTATGTATGTTAGCGACTCTTTCGCAAAGCAGTTGGAAAGAGAAAAATTGGAGACCCCTTGACATCAGTGCTTTCATAATCGGTGCTTCTGCGCTGACCTTGTTCTCTGATGCTGCAGAGAACTTCACACAATGGAAGGAAGGTGTCAGGAAACACCGCCTTCATATCACACATTCTCCTGTACGTAACAAGTAGCGAGTAGTGTTTTTGATGTTTTTTGATGATTTCTCATATATTTTTCCCACATGCAATGCGTCCCCGGACCGTAAACCGTAAACATGTTCCGAACTCGTCTGCCGAGAAACCCAGAGCTGCCGGCGAGCACAGGCCTTGAAATCCACCTGACTCAGTTGACTCTCTTTCCTGACTTTGGACTTTGTCGCGGCGTGTTACACACAATGACAACAATGAAAGAATGTAAGCATCCAAACACCAGGGTCATTAATCCGGCGATGACTGTTAAGGATGAAACATCATCTCAGCAAGCAACCCTGAGGAGAGACTTAGCTCATTGGAGTCTGTTTGCAAGGCAGCGGGTGGTAGCAGTTAGCACCTGCGGTTCCGCTGACCTGAAGTTCATGGATCCCAGAGGTCAGACGGGGTGAAATTCGGTGATATCAACAAGACTGAGAGCATCTGAGATCTGAGACCGATGCGGAATCCAACGGCATCCCCTGACAACGACTAAAGATACTAAGACTGCAACATGGTCGCTGCAGCGCTCCATGGCTCAGAACCATTGCGTTTTGGCTGCTTAGTGCGCCCGGTGCTCGGGTAACGACGGCCTTTGTGGCTGTCTACTCCAACAGGACGACTTTTGTTTCACCATGTTGTGCACATCCTGCGCTGTCTGTGGAGAAAAACTAGGATGTGTGGTGGTCAGCAAATGATCGAAAATGTTGATACATCATGATACATGAAAGTGAGCCCAGGGCTGAAGCCAAACCAAAACGAAGAATTACAATTCACTACTTCAGTCTTGTTCATACCAACTACTCTTAGCAAACAGTGGCTTCTTATAAAGTACAACTGAAATCTGAATCTCAAAATTGTGTTTCCGCCACAAAAAAAAAGTTTTCACGCTGTTTGGGCATCTTTTCATGTGCCAGTGATGCCACCGGCCGCCAGTAAACCTCCGCAACCGCTGGAACTCCTCGGGTCGCGCATGCCCACTTGGGTGTGTTCATCCAGAGGAAACTTGTAACAAAAAAAACGGTTTCGAAAGAAATCCCAGCATCCCCCTTAAAATGCGGTTGGACTTGTTTCCTCTTGTTTTCTATTTGTTCTTCTTAAATGTCCTGTGTATCCTGTTCTGCCAGTTTTGTTGCTAACACCGGCGTCTTGGAGGTTCAACCTATGATTGATTCTGCTGTTGTTTCCAAAAAAGAAGACGTTCAACTTTCATTTTTTGTTACTTCCCAAAAAATCAGTGTTGTTGTTGGTCGTTGGTTGCTGGTTGCTGGTTGTTCGTTGTTGGTTGTTGGTTGCTGGTTGCTGGTTTGTGGTCGTTGATTGTTGGTTGCTGGTTGGTGGTCGTTGATTGTTGGTTGCTACTTGGTGGTTGTTCGTTGCTGGTCGGTGGTTAGTGGTTGCTGGTTGGTGGTTGTTGGTTGTTGGTTGCTGGTTGTTGGTTGCTGGTTGGTATTGCTCTTCTTGCTTTTCTTGTTCTTCTTGCTCTTCTTGCTGTTCTTGCCCTTCTTGCTCATGCTCATGCTCATGCTCTTGTTCTTGTCGCCGTCACCGTCGAGAAGCAGAAACAAGGCAGCAATCAAAAAGAATCCACGGTAACAAACAAAAGAGCAGGGAAGCAGGGAAGCAGGAAAGCAAAGAAACACGGAAGCAAGAAAAACACTAAAGCAACAACATTGCACTGAGGCAGCAGAAAAAGCGGAAATAAAAGAGCAAAGCATGAAAACCGCAAAGCATAAAAAGGCAGAGAAGCAAAGGTATGAAGCAAAAATATCGATCCGCAAGGCAGAAAGGAAAAAACATGCAAAACAAATCAAAACAAAACAAATCATGAAAGTAGTCAACAAAAGCCGGGGAACATAAAACGAACACAGCAATTAAGAAGAACTGCGCAAACACAACACAGCAGAAAAACGGAAAAGTAGAGTGGCAAAACTCAAAGCATCAAGGCAGAAAAGAAGGATGCAGAAAAGAGAAATTCAAAACATGACCGGACGAACGAATGTCAAAAAACGAAACAACCAATTAGCTCTTAGCTCCATATGACAATTCCCGACCAAGATAATCCACGTTGAGGAATGACACACTGGGGACAACAAGAGATCTCACCCATCACCTTTAGGCCGTCAAGCCACTGGGAAGTAAAGCTTCTCCAGCTGCGCCAGAGCTGATCGATCTTCCACAGACGGAGCGCAAGGATCCACACGTTTCGACTCGCCTTCACATGCAGCTGACCAAGCCCTGGAGAGAAAGCCACAAAGCCAATCAAAGCCAGGTTTGTCATCAAAAAGGATTGGGGTAATGTTGATCTGAGCACATGGAAACGTATTTTTGGAAGGTTCTTCTGGATCCCCCGTGTTCTATGGCGAGTCGACTCCACAGCTCCTCGGTTGCGATGCGGCAGCTGGCCCAGCTGGCCCAGGGAATGGACGCTGCCCAGCCCGCGGAGCAGCGCAGACATCTCATCCTCAGAGCTGCCGATCCCTGAAAGCCGCGTCCCAAGAAGCGAAACATCGTGGAAACTGACTTTGACCGAAAGCCTGAAGAATCCTAAGGTGATCCCCCAAGCCGCACTCAGCCAACAACCAAGGAATCTCAAGCGGTGGCCGTCTATAAGCCGAGCAACAGCATCTGTCAGCCTCAAGTGAATCTGCAAACCTTGTGGGGAAAACCCTTCCGCGCTTGGATTTTAAGCAAAAAAAGCCTTCCTCGAGGGTCAACTATCCATCAAATTTGAGACACTTCAAGTTTCAGCTAGATGGGCAACACACAAAGCACTTGCGCGAGCCAATCTGCAGCCGTATGCTTCAACTTCTTACGGAGGAATTTTGATGCAATGACTAGACGATATTGTCTCCCTGCACGCATTTTTTCCAGCGGCACTTCTGGTGGGGCCCTTGCTCTGTTGAATCGGCGTTGATTGGTGGTTGTCGACATGGGACTTGTAGTAGGTATGGTCCCATGGTGATGTAAAATGACTTGCACATAGATGGTTTTAAAACGTGTCCCACTAAAATTGTCAGTTTGGAAGTCTATTGAAATTTCAGACACATCCGCTTGCTGAAAGTAAGATAACTTGGGGATCAAAGTGGATAAATTCTGTGCCGTGTCTCGGTTCTGACACCGCTACAGCTCCCGATGCCGCGGGTCCCAACTCAAAGCATGCCCCTTGCGAAGTTCACCGTCGCTGGCCATGTTTTCCTGGCGTCTTGAAAGTGGGGGAAGCTCAATCCAACTAACTAAATCTAACTAAATCCAACTAACCAAGCTAATTGATTTTACACTTTTCTGGTTCTTAGGGGCCTAGGAGGCTTTGGGCAACTTCCTGACAATCTAGGAGGTTTCCGCTTTGGAAATGTTTGCAAAGAGTCTCAACCTTGACCGTTTGGAGAGTCACCTCATCCCATGTGGTCCAAAGCCCCGAGACAGTGCCATCGACCAAAAGAGCCTTGATCATGGGGCAATCGTACTGCGCAAACTCAGCATCGTTGCCGTCACCTAGCTCCTGCCAACAACAAGTGATTGGATAACCTTCAACATTTGAGGAGGGGTGATGCCGGAAAGGCTCCATGATAATTACAATTGTTTTAACCTGTCTGTGCGCGCTTAAAATGCACTTCAACCTTCTCAACAACTCAACAAAGAATGGCACCAACGGACATTGTCACACAGAAATCTTGGGAAAAAACTGTTAGTTTCGCGTTGTGTGCAAGTCTCAATCATTTCTCATGGATCTGCAGGCTCCTCCCACTGCCACGTCAACATCTCACACATCCTGGGATCCGGTGATTTGGGCAAACAACAGCCACATGGTCTTGCAAATCTGAACCTGCTTAGATATTTGCAACACATCTCCACACATCTCCAGACATGTTGGTCTTTCCTTTGTTCGTTGGTCTGAGCACTTTCGTCAGCCTTTTCAATTTTGAATTTGATCATTACTGTCATGCTGAAGCGTGTTTTCGCCGTTTTCGCATGTTTGTTCATGTGCCCCCCTGTGCAAAGGAGGACATGTCAAACACCTCCTTGCCTCCTTCAAAACAGGTTTGGTCGCCCAGCTGACTCATCCCCAGCTTCCATAAACAGCTGACTCATTCCCAGCTTCCATTCTTTTTTCAAACCCCCACAACAATATTTATTTAGCCCACACCAAAATCTGCCCGCCATCGGTGCCAGGGGTCACTTTGGGCATCTCTTTGGGCCACTTCCCGCACTTCGCTTCCTTCGTGGGCCGCTCAAAGGAGCTACACCGCTCCGAGCTGCCAAGCAACCTATGGAAGCTAAGCAGAGGCGGAACAGCGGTTGCTTGGCAGAAGACCCCGTGAGAAAATGGGCAAACAAAAGCCATAGCAGTTGGATGATCTTTCACATTTTCAAGAAGCTGAAGCGATTTGAACCTATAGCAAATTTGGAGAACCATCACAAGTAGCCTTGGGGAAGCCAAAACCACCAGCCTGAGGACTGTTTCGCGTTTTGTGATGAAGTGCCCGGTTCGAAAGTTGCTTTTCTCTAACAGCTCACCCCTTCCTTCAGAAATCTTTCTGATTTTTTGGGTCTTTAGGGACCACCTTCTTAGTTGATACATGCGTTGCCTTCCAATCTGGCTGTGGAAACGACCCGTTTCTTGAAACGCATCTGCCTCTGTGGCTGCTCTGCGGTTCAAGCATTGGCATAGGCTGGCAATTGGAAATCGTTTTGGCCACATTGCCATTAATTTTGTTTCCAATGCTACACATTTCTCGGTGCCACCTTTTCATCGTTGTCTTTCAGCAATACGCTCTGTGCTTCAGCACGTGCCTCCCAAAATATGCAACACGTTTTGCACAAGCTTGCATTCGTGCGCTAGTCTGGTTCCTTTCCAGCAGGCACAGTTGCCGCGTGTTTATGTGCACTTGTCGTTCTGGGCTTGAACATTGATTGGTCTACGAATCTGGGCCTTCCAAACATACCGCTTTCTTGCCGGAATGGCAGCGTTGGATTCATTCAGGTGTCCAACCCCCAGGTGACAAGAACCGAAATCCGGAAATCCAACCCTGAAGGAACAACAGTTGCTGGCCAAAAAGTTTCTCCAAGTTCCCTCAGGCCCAAAATGTGTTGAATTTTAAAGCATGTTGTTAGTTAATGCCAAGGTTCTTTTCACGGACATTCATCAAGCCTGCGGCAAGCACCAACCCGTCCACTGCATGCATCTTCCAAACGTGAATTTTGTCATCCGGCAATCTGTCAACATTGTCCCCACATTTCCAACCACCAACATCAATTTCTTCCTTCCAGACCGGAATGCCCAAAAATGTACTGAGAAACTTGAAGGTTTCTACTGTCCGAAACTGTGGCAAATTGCCAACACAAAACGGCCGCCGCCAAGGCCCTGCCTTTGATGCTCAGCTCACCACCAGAGCTTTTGATTTCGCCGGCCAAGGCCTTGACCTGGGGCACAGTGAAAAACACTTCTGGACAAGGGGAAATGAGGAGGTCAAAAACCAGATGAACATCAGGAAATATGAGGGATATATGCAACGTGTTTGGGATTGGAATCCGCAAGCGTAACTACGCTGATACGCCATCTCGCCAGTCGGCCGTTTCGCCGTTACGCCGATCGCCGTGTTTGACAATGAAAGACACCACCAACGGGACCCCAACGGGATACAACCAAAGAGAACGCGATTTGCCGGGGCTGCCGGTGCAAGGAATAGCTGAACCTCAAATAAACCGCAATCGGTGTATCGGTCTGACGGCGTATCAGTGCGAAAACGATTAGAAGACACCAATCCCAAACACTCTGGATACATGCATTAAGCCATTTAGGCGGATAAAAATGAAAAAGAAGTCAGGTAACACAGAAAATCATTAAAACTAGGGGAGGTACATAGCACCACTGACATTGGATGCAGAAGCTAAGAGAATCCTCAAGAGTTCAGGACTTGGGGAAAAAGATTACATATCAAATATTTGGGAGCACAAGTCCTGGATAGGAATTCCCAAAGTGATCACAATAACACGATCACCCCTGGAAGTGTAGATGACAGACTGGTGATACCCTGATGATACGATACAAACTCGACGCAGCACTCTGTCAGTGGGAGCAACCCACTGAGATCCCAAGGTTCCGTTGACAAATGCTTAAAGCGCTTCGCGGCAGTAAAGGTTCCCTGTATCAACACATGAATGGAACGAACTAGCCAGGGTCTTTTCGTTCAAGTTACAGGCACCAGATAGCGACGCCAAGACACGCAAGTCTTGTCAGACTCATTTGATGAGCATGGGACGTATGGCCTGGGGCAACCTAGGCTGCGATTCATCTTTCAATGGTTGCACTTCCCCCGCCATTTTCACCAATGTTTCGAATTTCACTTGAGCATCAGAGGAATTATTCCCTCGGGTCCAGCAGGTGATAATTCTCCTCTGGACAAAGGGGATACTTGGTTGGCGCAGCTCTTTTTTCCAGCTTAGGGTCTTAGTCGCCCAGCTGGTGACACATCATGCTTTGATGACAGCATAGTGCTCCAACAAACAACAATCATGCGGTTTTACCATGTTATTTCCCAGCTGCAGGTTCAACTTCCCAGCTTTCCATGTCGGTGATCCCCATGGGCATTGGGTCCAAGTGGTGGTCCAAGTGACAGCACATCCACACGTTCTCCAAGGCATTGGGCGCGATCATCTCAGCCGCTTCGCCTTCGCAAACCTTTTCCAACTGATCCAAGATGCAGCCACTCGCCTAGTGAAGTGGGACCATGGGCCCGGATTTGGGGGTCACTGTGATGTTTTTGACCCAACGATAGGGTAGATCCAAAGGATTCCTAAGGATTCCTAAGGTACAAAAGGGTAGACTGACTTTCCTCAGGTGGGCTCACTGAATTGGACTGATCCGCTCGAAGGATCCCCGACTCTGTCCCCACGTCTCCCCACCTGGTAGTAGGGGCATGAGCGCCGCTGCGCCCAGGCAGCTGCCACTTGGTGGCACAATACAAGGAACAGAAATCGCCCCATGATGCGAGCCAACAGCTGCAGAACACCCACCAATTCACCAGGGACGGGGATTGTTTTTTTCCCTTACAGTTGGGAGGATGCACTTTTTGTTGGGAGTCTTGATTTGCCATGCCATCCGCATGATTCCTGTAGTTGAGCCACTTGAAATTTCATAGATGTTCTCACTATTATGCTCCAACAGTTTGCCCAGAAAGGCATCCTCCAGCGTCACAGCCCAGCCACAAATCAAAGGGCTGCAGGATGAGCCGTTCCCAACCAACGGCTGCTGCCAATTTCCGCGCCAGCAAAGTGTAGTTCCCTTTCCTCGCTGCCCAGGTGGACTGCACTGTGGAATGAGGGCCCTCTGGGTATCAAATCTTATCGAAAGTGTCATCCCGAAAGCAATTAGTTCATGTATGAGCTCCACCCAATCAACAATCATAGGCATAGGGAATACTTGTCGCTATATCCACCTAAACACATAGTGACATAGTTGGCCATGCTTCCACAAGCGAAGTCCAAAGGGATCCGGATCCACATCCGTCCCCTGCACCACCGCCAGCAAGCTGCTGCCCCCAGGGCTCTCGGGACTGAGGCGGTTGAAGTGTGAAACGACCTCAGCTGCCGGTGTTTCAAAAAAGCCGCGCTGGCCATTGCTTCCCAGGCCACCCAAGCCCCGATGATAACGCCATGCCAAGCTGCATATCGCACTGGATCACGAAAACACAGCAGCACCTCAGCTGTCACTCTGTGATTGGTGTGTTGCGATGTACCCGGCATGGGAAGTGAATGAGATGTATTCTTACTGAATCAAGTCGCCAGACGCTGCCATTTACCAACTCAGAACTCAACAAAACATAACCAAACCAGGTTGCTCGTGCAGAATCTTTGTCCGCCAACAGCGCCTGAATCTTCCGCCGTGCGATGTCGTGGGTTGCATAGCGTGAATCCCAGACACCTTGGCTGTGACTGTCCAACAATGAAGTCATGACTGTCCCGCCACAAGATACGATACTGTAAAGCTCTTTTTTTCGGCATACAGAACTCCAAATACCATGCCAATCGCTCAATCTTTTGGGTTTCTCCACCGCCTCCAGGACAGACCAGGCCATGATTTCAAAGGTTAATGACAAACAAAAACCTCCGAATATACGTTTGAAAGCCTGGAGAGAGTTGAGCACGATTTTCTTCGGGGGGAACTACACCAGCCTTTTTGGAAGCCACCGGACCCAACCAGGCAATGCCTATTCGTCGTGGTGGCGTTCCACAGCGCAGCACTTGCTGATTGAAGCGTTCCACAGTCTCTGCTGCCGGCCAAAAAGCGAAACTCATGAAGGCCGGCCTGACGGAAGATGAGGATCCCAGGATCCACCGCCTTCACTATGTAGCTCCAATCTCCGAGCACATCTCATGGAAATATTTCTTCATGGCATCTTCCATGTGGCCAAGTATTGCAGTTGTGTACTCACCTGCCATCAGGCCCTATTGTTTCATCCATTTGGACCTTTGTGTCTCATGATACGGCACTTGTATGTGCAGTGTCTTCAAATTAGGCGGATCTCAAAACCTTTCCCCAAAAATGAAACAGTCTTCCAAATAAGAAAATACAATACGCCCCATTTCTTAGCAGGAACCCTCTGCGCCGCGCCAATAGCTGGGCTCATCATCACAGCTGGGTGCTGCTGCCGGCGGCAAGGTAAAGTCACGAGCCCAGTCCTTGACAGATGAAAGTCATCCCGTTCTCACATCCAAATTGGAAACAAATGGTAGTGACTGGTAGTGGGTATGGTTGATCTTAGGGCTTGTCAAATCGACCTAAGGACATAAGGATGGTTCTGGGGATCTCAAAAAATCACGACTGTCACGACATTGCAAAGACGGAGTGCTTTCCACCAAAAAGGACAAACAATCTCGAGGTACAACAAACAACACCCGATATCTGCAGATTCAACCACACACGTCCAGGGTTCCCATCTCTTTGGATACTATAGTCAAATCAACCGACCAGCATCGGAAAGCTCGAATGGCATGATGTAGATGTCCTTGGGCGGCATTCCGTGGAAAGTGGCAGTGGCCAGGATTGCAGTTACTCCCCGGTTACCTTTGAATGTTGGTTCATTGTCCAATATGGTCCATCCCTTGGAGAGATGCCCAATCCTTTCACCAGCTCAGTGTCTGGCACACGGTGCAGGTAGTGCACCAAGCTGCTGCTACCGCCGCTCTCAAAGCCGGCTACCACGAAATCGGCTCGCCTTAGGAAGTTGAGCAGTGCCGCAGGGCAAAGGACGAATATTCGGAATATATCACAAGCGGCACGAAGCCAACGGCCGTTTTCGCAATGAGACAAGGAGCATCTCTTTCCAATGAGCCAAGCGATAAACGGGCTGCATTTGGTGCAGCTCTTCTGCTGCCATATCCACTTGCAGGGCTTCAAAGAAAGCTGGCAGTACCACTTGGCGCACCAAATCTTCCTGAGCATCGGACATGGTGGAACAAAAGATCAGCAACGCACTCTGAAGCAAAGAGAAATTCCGTTGCCTGGCTAGGGATCGTTGCCAAGATTTTCTGCATTTGCCATAAATCTGCGCCATTCCCACCCACAGAACCAAGGCGCACTGTCACAGCTAGCAGCCACGCAAATCAGCGCATGCCCGAAACGCCATGGGACGAAAGCCAAATCTTGGCATCCCAAAAGCCTCACAAGCACGGCCCCCAATGGCCCCCAATCCATCTAATGCCTCTCAAACAAGAATATGATGAATATGCCGCAAAAAGTTCATCGCTGCCCAATTCCACCACTCGAGTATTCCGCCGCATTGCAGCAAGGTTCGGCATCCTTGAAAATCTACTGGACACCTTCTCTTCATGTAAGTCGGTTGCATCTACTGTGTCCACCTATCGATCTGACACACTCATCACCTTGCATCACATCTATCACAGAGGGGTTATTCAAACCTAGCTTCACCTTCAGTTGAGTATCTGCAGGCATTCAAATTACAATGAAATATTCGAATACATGTTTCTTGGCACCCCATCCACCCTCGTTCCAGGGGGCTGTGCTTCGGAGACGTCAAAGACCTCCACACCTTCGCCGGGACGGCTGAGCACCGGGGCACCCGAAAGGCCGAAGGCCTCGGCACCCGACAGTGAAGACATGTACTGCAATGGACACCTGGAAATTACCTGGAATCGGCAAAAGCATTCCTTATCGATATATAACTTATCATTCCCTTTCTTCGACCGGATCTCTTGAAGCACCTGTTTGCAAGTGCATCTCCAAAACAGGTGGAATGTCTTGGGAAAACAACAGGCAGACTCATCGCACCTCAGGATGCTGCACGACGGCATCGGAGCATGTTTCAGCATCAAGCCTGAAGCGCCCCAGATGAGTTGGCCCGGGCTTCGGGGCTTAACTGCCGGTTAAAACTGTGAATTTAATGGAATAAATTATGAATACATGGCAACATGGATTCAGCAACCTTAGCCACACAAAATCAGGAATCTTCCGTGATTATCTGCTCGGTAGGATGAAGCTCACAGGGCAAAAGTTGACCTGATTCGAACCTCAGAATCATGGGTTTGCGGCAACAATGAACACAAATACGCACACAAAATTAGTACATTCTCCTCACATCTGTCCGTGAGCACTCCTATGCACACCCCATTTTGTGAGAGATGCCCATGGCTTCGTTTCGAGATTAAGTATCATCTGAGTTCCTGTTTGCCAGAAAGCAGTGAAACATCACATGGTAGAGCTCGTTTTTGTGACTGCTGGGCCCCTGTTCTGCTTGGAGTCTAGTTGCTGGGGAGCTGCCGCTGCTGCCAGCAGGTAACACGGCAGGCGCCATGCTGCAAGCCATGGCATGCTCAAACCACCATGTGGCCGATTCAATCACCCGACATCCTAAACAGAGAAACAGCTAGGAGAGTATAACATTGAACTCAACAGTGAGGGGTCCTGAGACCTTACTTGGTTCTCAGTTGCTAAAAGCAGACTACTGTGTCAAGGTCTCTTGCCGGGTCCGTGCATTCCTGCACAGGTTGTTGAGCTATTTGGAAGTCTGAGGAGGGCCAGTGGTTTCCAAGATATTTTTGTTCGAAGACTTTCACTTTGCCTGCCGACACTTCTGGCAGGTACGCTCATAAAACTCCGTGAAAACTGAAGCCAAGAAGAGTCGGGCAAAATCTGTTTAGATTCAAATTACACCAGCATAGACCCCAGATAGAAAAGGTTGGAACTGATGGTTCCCAACGTGGGAACCAAAGGTTACCATGGCAAGGAACTGCCGGTTCCCAGACCTTGAAACTTACGGTTCCCAACCTGGGAACCAGAGGTTGCTATTGCAAGGAATTGCCGGTTCCCAGAAGTTAGAATTTATGTTTTCGAAGCTAAGCAACTATCATTGTAAGGAACTGCGGATTCCCAAAGTTTGAAACTCATGGTTCCAAGCCTGGAAAAGTAAACGTTACCAGTGGAAGGATCTGTTGATTCCAAAAAGATAAAAATCATGGTTCTTAATGTTGTTTTGTTTTGTTTACTGAGCCGGTAACAGAACCTTTTGTTTTGCTTAATGGACCGGTAGCGGAATGTTTGCGTTTGGCTGTTGGGCCGGCAAAAAAATGTTTTTGCACGAAAAGGGTGCATGTCAAAATGATATGAAAACAGTTTCTTTACAATTTTATGGTTTTGCTTAATGGACCGGTACAGAACGCTTTGTTTTGCTTAATGGACCGGTACCGGAATGTTTGCGTTTGGTTCATGGCAAGGAACTGCCCGTTCCCAAAGGTTGGAACTCACGGTTGCCAACGTGGGAACCACAGGTTACCATTGCAAGGAACTGCCGGTTCCCAGAGGTTGGAACTCCTGGTTCCCAACCTGGGAACCATGGGTTACCATTGCAAGCAACTGCCGGTTCCCAGAGGTTGGAACTCATGCTTCCCAACCTGGGAACCATAGGTTACCATTGCAAAGAACTTCCAGTTCCTAAAGGTTGGAACTGATTGTTCCCAACGTGGGAACCAAAGGTTACCATGGCAAGGAACTGCCAGTTCCCAGACCTTGAAACTTACGGTTCCCAACCTGGGAACCAGAGGTTACTATTGCAAAGAATTGCCGGTTCCCAGAAGTTAGAATTTATGTTTTCGAAGCTAAGCGGCTATCATTGTAAGGAACTGCGGGTTCCCAAAGCTTGAAACTCATGGTTCCAAGCCTGAAAAAGTAACGTTACCAGTGGAAGGATCTGTTGATTGCAAAAAGTTAGAACTCATGGTTCTTAATGTTGTTTTGTTTTGTTTACTGAGCCGGTAACAGAACCTTTAGTTTTGCTTAATGGACCGGTAGCGGAATGTTTGCGTTTGGCTGTCGGGCCGGCATAAAAATGTTTTGCACGAAAAAGGTGCATGTTAAAATGATATGAAAACAGTTTCTTTACAATTTTATGGTTTTGCTTAATGGACCGGTAAAGAACGCTTTGTTTTGCTTAATGGACCGGTACCGGAATGTTTGCGTTTGGTTCATGGCAAGGAACTGCCGGTTTCCAAAGGTTGGAACTCACGGTTGCCAACGTGGGAACCACAGGTTACCATTGCAAGGAACTGCCGGTTCCCAGGGGTTGGAACTCCTGGTTCCCAACCTGGGAGCCAGAGGTTACCATTGCAAGCAACTGCCGGTTACCAGGGGTTGGAACTCATGCTTCCCAACCTGGGAACCATAGGTTACCATTGCAAAGAACTTCCGTTTCCTAAAGGTTGGAACTGATGTTTCCCAACATGGGAACCAAAGGTTACCATGGCAAGGAACTGCCGGTTCCCAGACCTTGAAACTTACGGTTCCCAACCTGGGAACCAGAGGTTACCATTGCAAGGAATTGCCGGTTTCCAGACGTTAGAATTTATGTTTTCGAAGCTAAACAACTATCATTGTAAGGAACTGCGGGTCCCCAGAGCTTGAAACTCATGGTTCCAAACCTGAAAAAGCATACGTTACCAGTGGAAGGATCTGTTGATTGCAAAAAGGTTAGAACTCATGGTTCTTAATGTTGTTTTGTTTTGTTTACGGAGCCGGTAACAGAACCTTTTGTTTTGCTTAATGGACCGGTAGCGGAATGTTTTCGTTTGGCTGTTGGGCCGGCAATTTTTTTTGCACGAAAAAGGTGCATGTTAAAATGATATGAAAACAGTTTCTTTACAACTTTTTGGTTTTGCTTAATGGACCGGTAAAGAACGCTTTGTTTTGCTTAATGGACCGGTACCGGAATGTTTGCGTTTGGTTCATGGCAAGGAACTGCCGGTTCCCAAAGGTTGGAACTCACTGTTGCCAACGTGGGAACCACAGGTTACCATTGCAAGGAACTGCCGGTTCCCACAGGTTAGAAGTGATGGTTCCCAACCTGGGAACCAGAGGTTACCATTGCCAGCAACTGCCGGTTCCCAGAAGTTGGAACTCATGCTTCCCAACCTGGGAACCATAGGTTACCATTGCAAAGAACTTCCAGTTCCTAAAGGTTGGAACTGATGGTTCCCAACGTGGGAACCAAACAAAGGTTACCATGGCAAGGAACTGCCGGTTCCCAGACCTTGAAACTTACGGTTCCCAACCTGGGAACGAGAGGTTACCATTGCAAGGAATTGCCGGTTCTCAGAAGTTAGAATTTATGTTTTCGAAGCTTAAGCGGCTATCATTGTAAGGAACTGCGGGTTCCCAAAGCTTGAAACTCATGGTTCCAAGCCTGAAAAAGTAACGTTACCAGTGGAAGGATCTGTTGATTGCAAAAAGATAAAAATCATGGTTCTTAATGTTGTTTTGTTTTGTTTACTGAGCCGGTAACAGAACCTTTTGTCTTGCTTAATGGACCGGTAGCGGAATGTTTGCGTTTGGCTGTTGGGCCGGCAAAAAAATGTTTTTGCACGAAAAGGGTGCATGTCAAAATTATATGAAAACAGTTTCTTTACAATTTTATGGTTTTGCTTAATGGACCGGTACAGAACGCTTTGTTTTGCTTAATGGGCCGGTACCGGAATGTTTGCGTTTGGTTCATGGCAAGGAACTGCCGGTTCCCAAAGGTTGGAACTCACGCTTGCCAACGTGGGAACCACAGGTTACCATTGCAAGGAACTCCTTGGTTCCCAACCTGGGAAAGGGTTACCATTGCAAGCAACTGCCGGTTACCAGAGGTTGGAACTCATGCTTCCCAACCTGGGAACCATAGGTTACCATTGCAAAGAACTTCCGGTTCCTAAAGTTTGGAACTGACGGTTCCCAACGTGGGAACCAAAGGTTACCATGGCAAGGAACTGCCGGTTCCCAGACCTTGAAACTTACGGTTCCCAACCTGGGAACCAGAGGTTACCATTGCAAGGAATTGCCGGTTCCCAGAAGTTAGAATTTATGTTTTCGAAGCTAAGCGGCTATCATTGTAAGGAACTGCGGGTTCCCAAAGCTTGAAACTCATGGTTCCAAACCTGAAAAAGCATACGTTACCAGTGGAAGGATCTGTTGATTCCAAAAAGTTAAAACTCATGGTTCTTAATGTTGTTTTGTTTTGTTTACTGCCACGCCTGCCACGCAAAACGACTGTAGATGTGAGTTTGTGCCACGCCTGCCACGCAAAACGATGGTAGATGTGAGTTTGTGCCACGCCTGCCACGCAAAGTGCCGCAGATGTGAGTTTGTGCCACGCCTGCCACGCAAAACGATGGTAGATGTGAGTTTGTGCCACGCCTGCCAGGCAAAGTGCCACGCAAAACGATGGTAGATGTGAGTTTGTGCCATGACTGAGTCACGACTGCCACGCAAAACGACGGTAGATGTGAGTTTGTGCCACACCTGCCACGCAAAGTGCCGCAGATGTGAGTTTGTGCCACGCCTGCCACGCAAAACGACTGTAGATGTGAGTTTGTGCCACGCCTGCCACGCAAAACGATGGTAGATGTGAGTTTGTGCCACGCCTGCCACGCAAAGTGCCGCAGATGTGAGTTTGTGCCACGCCTGCCACGCAAAACGACGGTAATTAGATGTGATATGTGAAAGATGGTGTGTGTGTGTGTGACAAAGTTATATGTGAAAGATGGTGTGTAACAAAGGTGGGTGTGAAAGATGGTGTGTGACAAAGTTGTATGGGAAAGATGGTGGTTGACAAAGTTGTGTGTGAAAGATGGTGTGTGACAAAGTTGTGTGTGAAAGATGGTGTGTGACAAAGCTGTATGTGAAAAATGGTGTGTGACAAAGCTGTATGTGAAAGATGGTGTGTGACAAAGTTGTGTGTGAAAGATGGTGTGTGACAAAGCTGTGTGTGAAAGATGGTGTGTGACAAAGTTGTCTGTGAAAGATAGTGTGTGACAAAGTTGTCTGTGAAAGATGGTGTGTGAAAGTTGTATGCGAAAGATGGTGTGTGACAAAGTTGTGTGTGAAAGATGGTGTGTGACAAAGCTGTATGTGAAAGATGGTGTGTGACAAAGTTGTGTGTGAAAGATAGTGTTTGACAAAGTTGTATGTGAAAGATGGTGCGTGACAAAGTTGTATGTGAAGAAAGATGGAGGGCGGGAGGCGGGAGGAGGAGGAGGCGGGGAGGCGACCCGGGATACAGAATCAAAAACAAGAACCCCACACAAAGTTGTGCGGAACAAAGCGTTCTTTACCGGTCTATTAAGCAAAACCACAAAGTTGTAAAGAAACTGTTTTCATATCATTTTAACATGCACCTTTTTCGTGCAAAAACATTTTTATGCCGGCCCAACAGCCAAACGCAAACATTCCGCTACCGGTCCATTGAGCAAAACAAAAGGTTCTGTTACCGGCTCAGTAAACAAGACAAAACAACATTAAGAACCATGATTTTTATCTTTTTGC